TGTCTATTTACTTGTGACCACTCAGTAAATACTCTAGTACTACCTATCACAACATTTTACTTAATACATATATATATATACCCTACACGTACAATCTACTTCATTCTTTACTTACATAACACTTTCCTATCTATCAGCGTTTCTTTTTTTTCACCATGTTTAATCTTAAAAGAAATAGAAACTTGAAAAATAACAACTTAAAACTTGTTTCACTCATATTTACAACTACTGACTTGCTACTGATCAGTACGTAATAAATAAATGTATACATACAAAGTACAACATTGATGAGACAATGAGACTACGGGAATGAAGCATTATTTATTATTAAACATTTTATAAACACAAACCTACAGAGCTTCAAAGTATGGATGCACACACTCACTTATATACATTTGTACAATGTAACCTGCTTACAGTCTGATGCATAGCTTTCAGTCATTAAATCATACCCTCAGCAGTTTGCCGGGTTTTAGTATTTACATTCACTTGGTAAGAACAAGCAAGGGAAACCAGCTTCCATCAATTTTTTTTCCTGCTAATTTCAAACATAAGGAAACTGAGATAAGAAGATAATCCCTTGACTTGTAACTGGAGCAAAGACACAGTAATCATCCAATGTAAAGACTGGTCTGAAGAAATCAGAATTAAAATACAGTAGGATGACCCTAATACAAGTCCTATGAAGAAAAGGTACAGGACTACTTGTGTGGGACAGAAGAGTCAGTGAACTCTGTCACTAAACTAGGTCTGACCATGTTTGGAGAGGAAATTTCAGACCACCTCCTAATTACTCCACTGTCTTTTTTAGATTCTAGTTCTGTCCTGGGGTCACTAGTATGGCTGGCTGTGCCTGAATCCAAGCTTTGGCTTGTGCACAGTGAACTAGCCATAGCACTATTAGCCATCAAGTCTGATTTTGATTTGGAACATAGCGTGTTGCGAAAACCTTCAAAAAAATTACGTTTACCCTTTGGAGGGGTGTGTTGTGGGGTGTTCTCCAATGGGAATGAATGCTTACGCTGGCCTTCTAGCCATACTGGGCCTTGTTTCCCTTCTCCAAAAACTGCTGAGCTTGGAGGAGAGGTAGAAGTTGGAGCAACTAAAACACTTTCTGGACTTTCTTCATTTGTTGCTCCAATTATTGTGACTGCACAATCACTAGACCTGCTCTTCTTATCACGTCCAGGAAGACACAAAGGCTTCGTACCAGCTCCCTCTGAGCCTTTGTGAGTAGTTGGAGGGTGGGAAAAAGTCTTTCTTAAGGTTGGGTTCCACAATGATCCCAATTCTGGCGATGAGCTGTAAGATACAAAAACCTTTGATAAATATGTTCCTATTGGCACTTATACAAAAAAGAATGTTATGTTTCTGGGAGTTTGACATGAAAATGTATAAGTTCATGACTTCATGGCTGGAGAAAACTGGATGACAAATTAATGTATTTGGAATATTTCCAAGCTGTAGAACTAGAGAAACTATTGATTCTAAAAAAGTGATTACTCTAATGCTAAAAAACGAGTAAGAACTAAATTTAAATTTTATACAAAATGTATTCTATAACACCTTTTCAATATCTTGCTATATTTCAGAGTTAATACTGATTTACAATCTTACAAAAACACTCTGTTAGTTGAGTAAAGCCAAGTTATGACTTCAAGTGTATCAGGAAAAGTAGGGTCAAGTAAAAATCAGAAATATGTGCTCTGGATTATGGGTTGATCCAATTACTAATAGGGTCATGGGTTGTTCTCTGTCTAATGAAAAACGTGCTGTTAAATTCAGTATTATAAAAATAATCCCAAACTATTTAATCTCATTAAAATAATTATGATTTATTTTTCTTTTGCAAATTCCAACATAAACTAGAAAACACACTTCTGCTTTAGTTTTCACTTTTTTACCGGTGACTAAGTCACCAAAGCAGGGTACTCTATCACTGCTTTGGGGCCTTATACAATTGCATGTGTTGCGCATGCCTAATACTTCAATTAATTATGAACATAGCTTGAGTTTTGAAGCATATCTTGATATGAAATAATTCATCAGGAACTCAGTTTCAGTTCTGTAGCATATTCTGATGTACAACAATACATCAGGATTTCAGTTTTTGAAAATGAACATTCTGATTCAATAATAATGAGCACAAAAATGTGGCAAGTAGGTTTGACTGCAAAGTATGTAAGTACAAATTTTACTCATCAGTAGATAGTAAGTAAAATAAGTTAATTATATATATACATTTATTTCCCCTCAGAAGTAATCTGTGTGTGTTGTTCTGTCCATAAGTAGGGAGCAAGGTTTCCTCTAATTTTTTCATGTGCATCAGTATCAAGGCAATGTGCAGATGTGTGCTACCAGTTATTTCATTTTTTGTGGGGGTGGTATTTTTAGAATCATTAGGCCATTTTGCAATACTACCAGTTGGTTATTTGGGCTTTAGGCCTATCGACTGCCAAGGTCATTAGGGCCATCAACGTGTTGAGACTCTTCACCATTACTGAGGATGTGCAAGGCTGTAATAATTAAGCACAAGCCAATTGATTGGTTGTTGTGTGGCCATGCAGCTTAAAGGGAACACTGGTAAGGAGGTTTCATATGTTCACTATTAACAATACTAACTTGTGTAAATCGCATATAAAATACATCTTCATCTACACATGCTAGGGCAGAAGATTTACTAGTACAGTAGTTTACTTACACATCTTTAGCAAGTTCTTTATGATAAGCTATAGGTGACTGTAAGGCTATGAAGAGAAGAAATATTCAATTAGTCATAAAAGCATAACAACTCTGCATTTTGTTCAGTAAGTTAACATTATGTAACAGTTAAAACTCTGTATTATAGTCACAACATCACAACTTTATATCATAATATACTTTTATAGAAATGCATAATATCAGTACCTCATCTATGCTAACACCAGAAACATAAAAAAATGGCTATTTTATTTTTACAAGGCTTTTATCATCCTTAATTATTCTTTATAAGTAGAGATAAAAATAATGAAAATATATCCATAAAAAAAGTCAACAAAAAAGTGAGAATTTTTAAAAGTAATATCAGACAATAATTCGATTAGGAATACAGTTTTGCAAACTGAAACATCTCTTAATAATTCCAACACAGAAGTAGAACAAGTTATTAATGTAAATTTTAACTTTAACGTTCCAGAAGAGCAGTCTATAGACTTAATGTTTCTGAACTGTAATCCATACATAATTCCATTATTTATCTATACTTCAACTACATGAGTAATGGGACACCTTGTGATAAAGCCTTCAGCATTCCCTGCTCAGCAGAGAATGAAAGAATGCTGCAGATAAACGAGATTTTACCAATTACACATTTGGCTCCAAGCTTAAACGATGCCTCTTCATCTTTTACAATATACTCGTATTCCTAGTGTTTCTGAACAGTTTTCCATACATACTCCCAGTGTTTCTGAACAGTTATCCATACATAAACCTAGTGTTTCTGAATAGCTATCCACACCTAATCCTAGTGTTTCTGAAAAGTTATCCAAACATAATCCTAGTGTTTCTGAAAAGTTATCCATACATAAACCTAGTGTTTCTGAAAAGTTATCCATACATAAACCTAGTGTTTTGGAAGAGCAGTTATCCATACATAAACCTAGTGTTTTGGAAGAGCAGTTATCCATACATAAACCTAGTGTTTTGGAAGAGCAGTTATCCATACATAAACCTAGTGTTTTGGAAGAGCAGTTATCCATACATAAACCTAGTGTTTTGGAAGAGCAGTTATCCATACATAAACCTAGTGTTTTGGAAGAGCAGTTATCCATACATAAACCTAGTGTTTTGGAAGAGCAGTTCACAGATGTTTAATCCCACTGTTTTTGTAAATAGTCAGAATTACTCTAACATCTTCTTCACCCAAATATCAAACACCTACCAACTAAATAGCTAATGTTAAGGGTCTATTTTATAAAATGTAATATTAAACAATATATTTAAAAATAACACTGATAGCATAACCAGGCAATATCACTACAGTTATTGTTTCAGTTCTCATTATACACAGCTTCTGAACACACGTAATTCACTGTAAGTATAAATCTAGATGTATATATTTGTAACTAAGGTGTTTCTATAATATATATTTAATTACAGTATTTCATTTACATGAGGAAATATTCTAGTCAGGGCCACGATTTTTATTGCCAAACATTTTTCAATTATGCAGCCAACAATTTAAAATCATGCACCACAAAACTTGAAATTATGTAAACCTTACCTAAAGAAAATTACATTAAGGAAGATATTAGATGTTAGGCATAATTAATTCAATTCCACCACCAACATCAAATTAAAATTTATCTTTATGAAACAAGAACAACAAACACTTTATGACTTTAGAAGACTTTTGACAGACTGTCTGGTACTACTTGCAAAGGAACAATAAACAAAGTCAAAAGTTATAAATTTTGTAACAGTGACCTAGACTTGACTTTACTAAATGTAGAAATTCAGTCTTTGATTATACAGTAAATCACCGAGTATGCAGTATTACGTAAATTATGCAAAAAAAGTTTGAGTTAGTTACTACACTACATTTTGAAAGACCACAAATGAGACTTGCAATAAAGATGGCATAATGTAATTCACATTAGAGAGATAACTAAAACCTCAGAATGACTTAATTGCACTGAAACATACTATGTTTCCTAGTTGTACAATACTTGTGGCCATAATCCTAACAATATATCATAAGATTTAGAAAGGTCTGTTAAGATTGAAACCAAATATCAAGCCAAAAATGGTAGCTTTTATATCACTTTCAGCACTGAAATAAAAATATATATTGCATAATAGATATGTGAAAAGATTAAACTGCAGTTTCTACTACTGCTCAACAACATAATGGTTTTTAAGTTTTGTAAGGAAGTTCAAAATGTACTGAGAATGTATTTTTCATTGATTTTAAACAAGAATCAAATTCATGAGCAAAAATAAAGTTATTATGGATGACGATTCAAGCATAGTTTTTACATGCTCTTCCTCAAATTATTTTAAATATTTACATTTCCTAACCATATATATACATTAGGTACTTGAGATGTGTTAAGACTAAAGTTAAAAACTTCCTTATAAATAATGAAGTATTGGAAGGGTTCTATTTAATCCTGAAGTAAGTTGTGATTGCAATTTTTAATGCAAAACAAATTGGAGTTTTAAAACTTTGAGAACAATATACGTAAGTATTGAAAAGAAAAGATTTATATCAATTTATCCAGTAATAAATGTATTTGAAACCAAGTATTGTATTTTTAACATATTGTTCTAACAAGCTAACAGAACATAAAATAACACAATACCCTTTAATACCTCTCAAGAAGTCTAACTGTGTGTCGAGGATTGCTTTGATGTTAAATACCCATTCATCTCGATCTTCCTGTGATGATCCTTGGATAACAAAGCACAAACCCTGTTGGTTAGGGTCTTTGGATTTGAGAACAAATTTCAGGGGGTCTTCAACATGTTCCTCTAGAGACATTTTGTTGACCTTCCAGAAAATGAAAGGAAGAAATTATAATGTGGCAGTAATGCTACAAATATGTAACATTACATTATTTTTACACATGATGTGTTTTATGTTGACAAGATAAAGGTTGTCTCCC